GCCTTTTATAGCTGACTGTGCGGTATGGGCTTAGCTCATTGTTGAAGGCCGTACAGTGACCTATAGTTGTTAATTTCTGTGTCATTTGGTCTCTTGTGGAGAGTTGTCTCATTGGCAATCATACCACATCTTCTTTTTTATATTTAATATGTACAATATGCAGCCATATCCAATTGGAATAGGGATGTTTAATCTGATGCCTTGTGTAAGGACTGTACCATGCTCTCAACATTTTAAAGAAACTTTGAAACAAATCTCGGGATTACACAGGTGGGCTGTTGCATGGCAGAATTTCTGTCAATGTCCAACATACCAACCATCATTTCCAACTTGGTAATTTTAACTTTCCAACCTCATCCCAGTCAAACCACCTATAACTATTGGATTTATTGTAAATTTTTTTCTTGCACTTATTTGCCACTGTATGATAAGAAAACAATCAACATTCGTCTTTTTTTTTACTACTGTGGATTCATTTATTGATGTGGTACCAATTTTCATCGATTGAGAAAAACTTGCATTTTCATGGATATTTGGTTACGTGGGTTTGCCAAAGTCTGCATACAACCTTATAATAAATTTGTAATTCATCGAACATTTAAATTTGTTATATGTTGACACAAAAGACAACAACAGTCAAATTTTTATCGCTTATATAATTAGTACTGGTTTAATAGGTCGACATGTTTCACCAGCAAGCATGGAGTCTTCAGGGGACCTGTGCCCCCCCCCCCCCATTTTTGGGAAAAATTTGGTTGATTATATAGGGAATCACTGAAGCATGACTGGAGCGGATCCCCTCTTAGGCAGTCAGTGGGCCCCCACTTATGAAAATTTCTGGATCCGCCACTGGCAACTAACTATGTAGATGATACAGACATCACCTGATTTCAGGTTAACACTAAGTAAAATATAACTGTGTGATCAATAATTTTATTTTTACAAACAAATTACAATATCATATTCCAACATTTGGTCCAAAATAATAAGGCCAATTTATAACTTTTTAATTCCAAAACAGAAATAGATTAATGCATAAGAACAAAGAAAAACCTATAAGTAATAATAATGCAATTATAACTAACAATATTATCATGTATTAATTATGTCAACAGCATTGAAGAATAAACGTTTGTGTCAGTTTTGAAATCAGGAATACAAAATAAACTAATCAATGCAGTAATGCAGAAGCTTAAGGATGTACTTAGGTGAGGTTTTGGAATAAGTGTCAAATGTTCAGACTCCTCAGTGGTTTTCCATACGATACAAGGTAAAATATTTTGCCCCATAACACCTATTTATCTTTTAACATAAGATTTAATAGCTCATAAATGGTCATTTGACAAAATTTAAGCAGATTCTTGATTTTCTTTTTTTTGATTTGAGACCAAAATAGTACCAATACAAATATAAGGGCCATATTTTATAAATCAAATATCTCGAAAAGGAGCTCCATGACCTATCATTATTTTTAGCTTATTTTGATCCTTAACTAATACTCTTCCAGCTTAAAGTATCAATTTTGAATTCTTGATTTATTCAATTTTACCTTCGATCACCTAAGTACATCCTTAATATTATAGAATGATTTTTTTTTTAACAAACATTGTGCACGGTTGAAGTCTCTTTATACATTTTCCATGGCAGCTAAAAAGTATCATCTACCCATACTGTTATACATTTTTATCATCTACCCATACTGTTATTTTTTTTTTTTCAATTTGAAGACTTTTTCTTTCAATTAGCACTGATCTGACTACAATATATATCTATATACAGATGAAATTTCTTTTATTGACAATTAATATGACAATTATTTTACACCTACAATTAGAAAAGAAATAAAGACGTTTTGGAATTTAAGTTTCCATGCCTACCCAAATAACGTTCCACCAAAGCTTACTAGCAATCATGTTGGAGGTTTCCTTGCTGACCCAAATCAAGTTCAGCAAAACTTACTAGTAATCATGTAAAGGATGGGCTAATTTTTATATTGCAAAGCACTGTTTATTTTTATAATCTGAAATAATATTCCATATCTATATAGAATGTCATATGTAATATATTACACATGAGTAATAGTGGAGAAAAACTACCTGCACAGCTTGGCCAGCAAGCTTATACAATGAATATAATTGATACTGCACTCACAAAAGCTTTCATAATTTAACAAAAATTGTAACACACAATTACAAATATTTAAGGAAATGAAAGTTGTGTTGTCCGCTCATATATTGGGGTTACTGTTACTTGTTGAAAAAAATCATTCTTCATCTAAAAATGATTGAATTCAGTTCAAGTTTTGATTAGACTAAATTTGCCCTATTATATTTTATCATTACATTAAAGACTACAAGTTCAAGTCATACTTCTAGCCTTCTATTAAGAAAACATATAAAAATATGAATGAAATAAAATTCCAATGTTAATTTTCAGCTCAAATGGCAGCATAATATTTCTCCTTTATAGCGGGGGTATATAAAAAAAAAAGAATGGGACTTGTAGTAAGTCTACATAAAAACCATGTCAATATTTCCTGGATAAGTCCATTTTGATAAGATGTGGTTGCTGTGACTGCATTGGGTATTATAAAAAATACAATAACACTTTAAAATGGTTGAAAATCTTTTTAAAATATGATGACCAAGCACAAATACAAATAAAAGTATAACATTTGTTCTAAACTTAAATAGATTTTTAGTTAAACATCTTTAAAATCTAATTAATTCATTGAATTTAAATAAAATATACAAAGCACATGAAGTATGCATATAGAATTTTATGTTAACAAAACAATTAAATAAAAGAATAAAACAGTTATTTCCCCTCATTGATTCACCAAAATAAATATTTTCTCACAACGTGGAAGCATATGTATGCTATATATTCTATCTAAATAAATACTATAGTTTGCACTAAGTAATATTTAGACAATTACATATTTACGACAATTTACAGAAAATTACTTCAGTTTGTAATAAATAAAAGAGAAAAACTTGTTTAACTGTTAGGTGATTTGCAACTTCATTATGGCATACTGTGAATGTTTAGTTTTTGTCTGTACCAATTAATTTAGGAAAAATTGATTTTTTGATTTTTTGATTTTTTGGCAAATTTCGCATAAAAACCTATAGGTAATCTGCATTTTATTGAACACCCTGAAGATGTGATTTGCCTCCGACATAAAACTTGAAAACTTCTTCTCACAATGAACATGTGTACTAAGATTCAAACTGATGTGACCATAACTTCATGGTAAAATACCTTAACCAAAAAAATTTAACTGGATACAGGAAACTATCAGAAACAAACAGACTGACACCATAACATCCTCTACTACCATAAGCGAGGCATAAAAAAATAAAGGCAGTCAGAACTACTTCAATAGATATAAGAAGATGTGGTATGAGTGCCAATGAGACAACTCTCCATCCAAGTCACAATTTGTAAAAGTAAACCATCCTAACTAATTAGTTACTGTATTTACAAAGGTCAAAGTTCACCTAACAGAGAAGCAAATTTAACGTCTTTTTGTTTGCAATAAAAATAAGTTATATCTGTACATGGATGGGACTGATAACAACTGGCTTTGTTCATCAACCTATATCTACTGTTATAACAATAAATAAATTAAGATTATACATTATATTTATATCATTGGTCAATATAAATCAAAAAAAAAGTTGCTCTAATATGTACTATCTTAAAATAACTATAAGCATAAATAAATACAAAAATAACTGATATGTTTAAAAAATATTGGAATGTTTTCAAATCAAAATGACATTAATGAGATTCATAAATGAAACTGTTCAAGATTGTCACACAAAAAAAATGTTTTAAAGCATGCCTTTAAGAGAAGTTTGGACCATTTGGCCTTATGTAAACAACACTACTGGCTCAAGAGAACCAAAATGGCTCATCTAGTAATTATCCAAAGTAATCTTTATTTATGACTAAGATACTATTTAGGTCAGGCTTTTTTATCCAGACATTTCCATAAGCCACATAATCCCAACCCCAAATAAAATGCTCCGCTGGGCGCAGCTTGATACGACCGCAGAGGTCCAACCCTGAACAGTTGGGGCAAGTATGGACACAACATTCAAGCTTGATACAGTTCTGAATTTGGATTGTGATTAAATATTTGACACAGCAAAGGTTTCTGACACAGACTGAATGTGGTCTAAGAACTTAAATTTTTTTAATTTACCTATTATGGTCCAATATCCAAAATCTAAATACATGGTTAGATTCAGCATATCAAAGAATCCAAAGAATTCAATTTTTGATGAAATCAAACAAAGTTTAATTTTGGACCCTTTTGACCTCAATGTGGACCAATTTGATAACGGGGCCCAAAAATCAAAATACATGGTTAGATTCAGCATATCAAAGAACCCCATATATTCAATTTTTGTTGAAATCAAACAAAGTTTAATTTTGGACCCCAACTTGGACCAACTTGAAAACTGGACCCATAATCAAAAATCTAAACACATGTTTAGATTCAGCATATCAAAGAACCCCAATAATTCAATTTTTGATGAAATAAAACAAAGTTTAATTTTGGACCCTTTTGACCTCAATATGAACCAATTTGATAGAGCCCACAAATAAAAAATCTAAATACATGGTTAGATTCAGCATATCAAAGAACCCCATATATTCAATTTTTGTTGCAATCAAACAAAGTTTAATTTTGGACCCCAATTTGGACCAACTTGAAAACTGGGCCCGAAATCAAAAATCTAAAAACATATTTAGATTCAGCATATCAAAGAACCCCATATATTCAATTTTTGTTAAAATCAAACTAAGTTTAATTTTGGACCCTTTGGACCTTAATGTAGACCAATTTGAAAACTGGACACAAAATTAAAAATCTAAATACACGGTCAGATTTGGCATCACAAATAAATAAATGTGGTCAAAGATTTTACAAATCTAATGCGCCATACTGTGCAATTAAAGATTACTTCTTGAAATTTTTCAATATTTGAAGACGACGACGACAACGTCATACCAATATACGATCGCAAAAATTTTTTTGCGGTCGTATAAAAAGTACTTTGAAGATTGGGAACATCAAATAAAGTAAATAAATTCTGAATTGTATCAAATACAAGAATCAATTATCCACAACTTTCAATGTGAGGGAAATTAACTGTCATCTGAAATGAATTATATAGAAGAGCACCTATAAATAATATATCAATGTAAATGTCTAATGACTTTAAATTTATTTGATATGAATAATATATGAGATCCATTTGTAAGTAAGTTCTAAAAGTGCCATATTAGAGTTTAATGTACATACACCTATTTTATAAAACCAAGCCAATCTATCTCATCTTTGAAGATTTTTTTTTACAAACACATATTATTTGTTCATGGTTCAATAAAATACATACAGAATTCTATATACAACCATTTTCTTGCTGTTTCAAAATTGTTGGCAATAATGGGGACCATTTCAATGTTTCTAGACTGGTTTTGTAGTATTGTAAATATCTTTTGTTTGAAAGTATATCAATAAAGTATATGGATCTTCAGAATAACATATTCCTAAAACATCAGACAGACTAATAATGAGTTCATTTTTTAATGTCATAAGTTTAACAATACAGTTACTGTAAATTCAAAAATTAATGCAATGTTTTCATCTATGACAAAAATGAGACAAAACTCTGGTCACATTATTTAAAGCTCACATTTTTTTCAACAACAGAATAACACATATTTCAATAATAGATCTTTTCCTGTCCCATTTATGAATTTTGGATTTTGTTCAACATTTGAAATTTCACATCAACAAAGGTATGCAATTCATATTTGAAGGATGTTGAAAATTAAAAATCATAAGGAATTAAACAATTAATATGAAAGCATCATTTATTGATTACAGAGATGAAAGTACCCACCAATCAAAAAGGAGGAACTTTCTTTTTCCAACTAAAAAACAGAGTCATTTCATAACTGTTTGGACCAAGTTTTGACACAATTGATATCTATAAATTATACCATATATTGTACATATTGAAAGAAAAAGAAATCTGTGTATAGGTTATGTCATCAATTAAGGATTACAGCTACAAATTCTATCACAGGCACTTTTAGACTAGAATAAGATGATTTTTCAAAATGCAATGTGTAAATTTTTCATCCATGATAGCACATGATAATGTTATTTTGTAAATATTATTCACAAGTATATAAGGAAAGAATATCACATAATATGAATATGGTCTGTGGTACAACATACCCAAGCTATTTACATGTATTTCTAAAATGGTTAAGTTCTAAGTTGGGGGCATAAAGTTTGATTTCAGATTGACTTCAAATTGCAAGTTCTAAGTTGGGGGGCATATAGTTTGATTTCAGATTGACATCAAATTACAAGTGTATATACAAACTTTTAGACTGACCATAAAACTGTAACCCATGCATATTACTTCAATATGTAAAACAGTTACCAAGATTAAGTTGTTTACATGTATATCTTTCCATTTATATACCACGGCAGCCACAATCTTGGATTTCAGTTTGGCACCAAATAAACTTTGTTAGGAGTATATTAGTATCACACATATTCAATTAACTTAGTGATTCCTGACAATAATATTTCTCACTTTCAGCCATTCAGAAATGATTTTTAGCCATCTTGAATTTTGGTTTGTACAGAAAATCAGAAAGTGAGCGGAGGACAAACAAAGAATCCCTATTGTTTAGTTTGACTCAATTTGATCCAATGGTTCTAAAATAGCTGTAAATGTATGAAGCTAATATTGATGAGCATATCACAAGGACCTTCAGGCCAAGTAGCTGTATATGTATATTTATACATGTGAATTAGTTTTAAATGATAACTAGTACAAATAGCACTATAAATGAGTAGTTATTCGGACCATATAAAGAATACAGTAGTCCCTCCTTTGATAGTTATACAAATATAGCTAGAAAAAAGGACCCTAACTTTCAAGTCATCTCAAAATGACGAAATTGTGTGAAAAAAATTCTGGATCCTTGTACAAAATGGTATCACCTATAAGTAAAGGCAATTTCTCATAAGGTATGCCTATGTGTCGCATAGTAATGTTTCACAATAATATAACATTTTTACATCATTATCAAGTTTAAATTATTCCTAACAGATAAATCTGTCACACTAGAGATGCGCTACTGCATTGCATTAACAAATTTTCAAGGCATTTTTGGTTCATACCTGAACTACTAAAGTATGCAATATAAATAATACATGGATTTTTTCAAATTTATCACAAAGAATCTATTTCAAATCCCAAATTGCTGACCCCATGATCTTCATCTGGGATTTTCCTCTTGATCACAGCCAATTCGATGAATTTGATTCTCTCTTCATCTGTCAAATTTTCAATATGAATAATTCTATTATACGATCGCCACTTTTGACAGTACCGTAAATACATTTTACACTGAACGTACATAAACACAAGGCCACCAAAAAATCCAATTGCAACAACAATTAACTTGGTCCAGAATGGCCAGTTTAATGCACCCATTTCTACTTCTTCCGTTGTTCTGTCTATTAATACATAAAGAGACCAAATAACACAGGTAATAGCTATTACATGGAATGTTACAGAACATGTAATCTTCCTTTTCTCCACACGGGACATCTGTAATCTCTCCCACTGAAAATAACAACAAGAGTACAAATTAGTAAAGATGAAATGTCCCCGATTCAATATTAACAGATCATATACTGTAAATTTAGAAATTATTGCGTGCATTTAGTATTGGGATTTTTCTAAAATGACAAGAATGCGATTTTAATTATTGCGATTTCAGAAAAATCTACATGCAGATGTATGTTTCAAAATGGGAGTTTATATTATTGCGATACTCACCTAATCGCATTATTCGCATTAATAAAAACCTTGCAATAGTTTCTGAATTTACAGTATTTGATACTGTGGATTCCTTATTATTCGTGGTTGCATGGGTAAAAATAGGTTAACCATGAATATAAATGTTCAAGTTGGTCAATTTTCTATAGGATTTTATACAGACTTTGGGAAAACCATAAAATCAAATATCCATGAAAATGAAATTCTTCCTTAAGGTAGATGGGGGGTCTAAATTAAAATCCATAGAATTTTCTAATAATTTGTCAAAATGTAGTTTATATTATACCTTATTCAAAAATATAATAAAATGCTCCACAGGGCGCAGCTTGATACGACCGCAGAGGTTGAACCCTGACAGTTGGGGCAAGTATGGACACAACATTCAAGCTTGATACAGCTCTGAATTTGGATTGTGATTAAATATTTGACACAGCATAGGTTTCTGACACAGAATGAATGTGGTCTAAGAACTTAAAAATTTTAAATTGGACATTCACCTATTATGGTCCAATATCCAAAATATAAATACATGGTTAGATTCAGCATATCAAAGAACCCCAAGAATTCAATTTTTGATGAAATCAAACAAAGTTTAATTTTGGACCCTTTTGACCTCAATGTGGACAAAGTTGATAATGGGGCCCAAAAATCAAAAATCTAAATACATGGTTAGATTCAGCATATCAAAGAACCCCATATATTCAATTTTTGTTGAAATCAAACAAAGTTTAATTTTGGACCCCGATTTGGACCAACTTGAAAACTGGGCCCATAATCAAAAATCTAAATATATGTTTAGATTCAGCAAATCAAAGAACCCTAAGAATTCAATTTTTGTTAAAATCAAACTAAGTTTAATTTTGGACCCTTTGGACCTTAATGTAGACCAATTTGAAAACAGAACCAAAAATTAAGAATCTAAATACACGGTTAGATTCGGCATATCAAAGAACCCCAATAATTCAATTTTTGATGAAATTAAACAAAGTTTATTTTTGGACCCTTTGGACCTCAATGTGGACCAATTTAAAAACGGGGCCCAAAATCCAAAAACTTAATACACGGTTAGAATCAGCATATTAAAGAACCCTAAGAATTCAAGAATAAAACCCCATTGAAATTGGTCAAGAAATAAGCAATTTATACGAAGTATCTTCTTTTGCACAATACTGTACAATTGAATATTTCTTGCTATTGCGCAGAGATCCATACACTTGAACACAAGTTATTGTCTGGAAACTAGAAAAATGCTTATTTTTGGCCTCTTTTTGGCCCCTATTCCTAAACGTTTTGGGCAATTACCCCTAAACTCAATTCCAGCTTTCCCTTTGTGATATGGAACCTTGTAGTACAATTTCAGAAAGATCCATACACTTACACACAAGTTATTATCACGAAACTAGAAAAATGCTTGTTTTTTGCCCTTTTTTGGCCCCTAATTCCTAATATTTTGAGGCATATTACCCCCAAAATCAATCCCAGCATTCCCTGTGTGATATGGAACCTTGTGGTACAATTTCAGAGAGATCCATACACTTGAACACAAGTTATTGTCTGGAAACTAGAAAAATGCTTATTTTTGGTCCCTTTTTGGCCCCTTATTCCTAAACGTTCTGGGCAATTACCCCCAAACTCAATTCCAGCTTTCCCTTTGTGATATGGAACCTTGTAGTACAATTTCAGAAAAATCCATACATTTACACACAAGTTATTGTCATGAAACTAGAAAAATGCTTGTTTTTTGCCCCTTTTTGGCCCCTAATTCCTAATATTTTGAGGCAATTACCCACAAAATCAATCCCAGCATTCCCTGTGTGATATGGAACCTTGAGGTACAATGTCAGAGAGATCCATACACTAACACACAAGTTATGTCTGGAAGTTACAAAAATGCTTATTTTTGGCCCCTTTTTGGCCCCTAATTCCTTAACTGTTGGTACCATAACCCCCAAAATCAATCCCAACCTTCCATTTGTGGTATTGAACCTTATGGTAAAATTTCATAGAGATCCATTCACTTAAACTAAAGTTAGAGTGCAAAAACCAATGTGTCTTCGGACGACGCCAGACGATGATGACAACGATGACGACGCCAACGTCATACCAATATACGACCGCAAAAAAAAAGTTTCATGGGTGCTGTTTGTAAAAGTTCTTATCATTGCATCATACATTAAGGTTATTACAAGAGCCTTTATAATAAGAGTATTCTTTGGGCAAGATTGATTTCCAAGATTCCTTGCAAAATCAGGGTGCACATACAACTTTGTCAAGTGACATCAAACAAAAGAAATTGAGTATAATATTTAATAATTGATAGTTTACTAACAAGTAGTCATTTTGTTTGTAGTTTACTAATTAACAAGTTTACTAACAAGTAGTCATCTTGTTTGTAGTTTACTAATTAACAAGTTTACTAACAAGTAGTCATCTTGTTTGTAGTTTACTAATTAACAAGTTTACTAACAAGTACTGTCATCTTGTTTGTAGTTTACTAATTAACAAGTTTACTAACAAGTACTGTCATCTTGTTTGTAGTTTACTAATTAACAAGTTTACTAACAAGTACTGTCATCTTGTTTGTAGTTTACTAATTAACAAGTTTACTAACAAGTACTGTCATCTTGTTTGGAGTTTACTAATTAACAAATTTACTAACAAGCAGTCATTTTATTTGTTGTTTACTAATTAAAACACGTTTACTGACAAGTATACTTAGTCATTTTGTTTGTAGTTTACTAATTAACAAGTTTACTAACAAGTAGTCATTTTGTTTGTTGTTTACTAATTAACAAGTTTACTAACAAGTACTGTCATTTTGTTTGTTGTTTACTAACAAGTTTTTTTATTGTTATTTTGTTTCATGCATATCCTAAGCAGTACATTTCTTTTATATAGTATTTCAAGTAGAAGTTGAAGGAAACATCTGTTTTTCCTATATTAAAAGGTATAAGTGATCCAACATTTGAATCCAAAGACCATCAGAAAACAAAAACCTCTCAAAAATTTAACATGGAGAAACTTACAGGTTATCATTGACAATGTTTAACATTTAAAATTTTCAAATTGCCAAAATCACAATCTCACACACTCTCTATAATAACTTTTTACACTTTAATTTTATATAATATGAATTAATCAATGGAAGATAAGGTCAGAACAACTAGACTGTAAAAAGACTTTAATGTTATGAAAAACATGAGTAAACAATATTAAGATTACAAATTGTAAAATGTTCGATAATTTTTTTTCTGAATAGACTAAAGAATTATATTGAATCTTCAATTGTTTACCTTTTATCTAAACAAATGTAATTTAAAAGTTCCTGTAAACATATACATGTATATATATATATATATTATCGCAAAGAAAAATTCATGAAAGGTTAAAAAAAGGGTTAAAGAAGTCTGTCTTGAAAACCAAAGACATACATATTCATAGATATGTACAATTAAACTTTAAAAGTTCCATATATAGAATGTAGGTCTTTCTTGAAAAACGAACTATAGCTATATACATGTACTTATAAATCTAGATAATTAATTGCAGTTTACTAATCAATATTATATAATAATTACATATAAAATAAACTGCTTCACTGAGTGCAGCTGGATACGACCGCAGAGGTCCAACCCTGAACAGTTGGGGCAAAAATGGACAAAATATTCAAGCTTGATACAGGTCTGAATTTGGATTGTAATTAAATATTTGACACATTATAGGTTTCTGACACAGTCAGAGAACTTGAAATTGGTTATATGATTTGAATTTATATTCAATTGAAGATTTCTTGCTGTTGTTCAATATACTGTGCTGTTGCACAATACTTAGTAAATCTGTTTTCAGACTATATACAAAGAATTAGCAAAATAAATTGTGACCCCCAATTGTTTGTTTTGAAAAATTGTTAATTTCTTTAAATTTGACCCCCCCCCCCCCCCCCCCCCCCCCCCCTTTTTCATATAAAATAATATTTGAAGAAATTTTCTTTTTTGTAAAATCTGGTACAATTTAAGAGACATCCATACACTTAAACACAAGTTATTGCCTGAAAACTAGAAAATTGCTTGTTTTGGCCCCTTTTTGGCCCCAAATTCCCTGAAAAGTTTGGGCAATTACCCCCAAAATGAATCCCAATCTTCTACTTGTGGTAATGAACCTTGTGGTACAATTTCAGAGCAATCAAAATACTTATACTCAAGTTATTGTCCTGAAACTAGAAAAATGCTGTTTTGGGCCCCTAATTCCTAAACGATTGAGACCACCACCCCCAAAAACAATCCCAACTTTCCTTTTGTGGTATTGAACCTTTAGGTTAAATTTCATTGAGATCCATACACTAAAACTAAAGTTATTGTCTGGCAACCAAATGTCTTCGGACGACGACAACGACGTGATAGCATTATACGAACGCAAATTTTTTGCAGTTGTATAAAAAGAAATGTGGTCAGCTTTTGGGATAAACATAAACCCTCATTTAAGTACACTCATTTACATAAAACAGAGTTCTCCAAATATTTTTAGCCTTGGACGTGGCCATCAAGACCACCACGGCTACAAATCTTGTGGTCTTGTTTTTGCAGAAAATAAATCTTTGCTATCAATTCATACATGTAGGTATAAATAAGATTAGGACAATTTGTACAATTATTATACAATTTCATATTAAATAATGCATTGTATAATCAGCAGTCTTAATAGAACTAGATATCATTGAGATGGGAGCCATCTCTGTGGGCCCCGCTGTGGATTATGTGTGGTAAAAAAATTTGTATCTTTATCATTGGACATGGGGTTGTCAACTGAAACCCAAGTTTATGACCTTGACCTTTGACCTAGGAAGTTGTACAAAAATTATGACACACCCTCTGGTGTTGGTTTATATACATGTCAAGTATAAACTTTGAAATCATAACGGTTCTCAAGATATAGAGCGGACACAATCTTTACCATAGGACATGAGGTTGTCAACTAAAACCAAAGTTTTTGACCTTGACCTTTGACCTAGGAAGTTGTACATACATTATGACACACCCTCTGGTGTTGGTTAATATACATGTCAAGTATAAACTTTGAAATCATAACAGTCCTCTAGATAGAGGGGACACAATTTGTTACGGACTGAAGGACGGACGGCGGACAGACTGATCACTATAGGGTGTCCGCCATTCGGCTGGGCCCTATAAAACCACCTCAAACTGGACATCAAGACTGCCACTACACTCAAAATTAGCGGATCGACCTGATTTGGGGTGGTCAGGACCAAAACTCTCGCCCGCCCGCTAGCCGTACATCTCCAAATCAATAACCATTTTTTTCCTTCAAAAATCCAGTTAAAAATGAAAGAAAAGAAAGGGACAAGCAAATAGTCTTTTCTATTTCATTTGTTAAAATAGCTATATTTAATTTTAAATTCTAAAGTGACCAGTTGTCATATACAAGTAATTGGTGAACATTTCCAAGGGTTTTGATGTAAAATGCTCATAAGAGCATTTTATTATTGTATAAATGTGTCATCTTAACTGATCCCTACAAAGCCTTATCAAATGGAAGCCTTTGTTTAATAGAAACTTTTGAGAATATCCCTCCTGTGCAGTAGGCTAGCAATGTTTTGAGAATATCCCTTCTATGCAGAAGCTATCATTGTTTGAATGAAACTTCTGAGGAATATCCATATTAAACATATATTGCAATACGTTTTAATGATAAAAACCGAAATCAATACCTCAAACAGAAGAAACTACCTGTAAACAAATCGAATAGAATATATAATATATAACCTTTGAATTGAAATCAATAGTCTGGCCATGAAAAATTTATATAACCTCTGATACTAAAACCAAGAGATTGAAATAAATTCTTAAAATGTCATTCGAGGAAATTCATGATACTTCAAGAAATAATTCTTCGTTTTTTTATAGGGTTACAGAGAGTTCATAATTAATATTTCCATGTACTAATTTCTTCTGTAAAGCAATATTTATAATTTGACAAGATTAGTTTGTGTTCAGGAAAAAAAAAGGAAAACAAGTTAAAGGATAATCATAGTCAGATCATACCCATTAAAACCCATTGACGTTCATACTATAAATATGACTGTGTGGGTATACTCGTAATTGTACAAATGTACTGTCATTAAGACAATAATGCCATATTTAGATCTTTTTAAGTAATTGTAGCTTTACATTGTGTATAATATTATGTCTGTTAAATTGTGAAATAGTGTTCACTAAAATATAAAAAAAATAAAATAATAAAAATCTGTAAATTGGGTGTATATGTAATAAATTGCTTCGCCTAGCGCAGCTGGATACGACCTCAGAGGTCCAACCATGAACAGTTGGGGCAAAAATGGCCACAATATTCGCACTTGATACAGGTCTGAATTTGGATTGTAATTAAATATTTGACACATAATAGGTTTCTGACACAGAATAACTGTAGTCAAAGAACTTAGAATATGTTATATGATTTGAATTTATAATTAATTTTTTGCTTTTGTGCAATACACTATGCTGTTGCAAATTGACCTCCCCCCTTTTTCAAAACAAAAAAAAAAATTTGAAGGATTTTCTTCTTGATTTCTGAAATCTTGAGGAGAAAAAAACTGTAAATTTAAAGGTTAATACTAAGTTTCCAGCTCCTGTTATTGTTAGATTCAAGAACAGAAAGTTTTTATTTAAAACTGTAAATCCAGCATCATGTTTTAACTTTTTAAAATCTCTTCACAATTATTTTGAGGAAAAAGTAAAACATTTTGCACAAGCTGAATGTCTGTTTATTCCAAAGACCTGACCAAGCTGAATGTCTGTTTATTGCCAAGAACCGACCAAGCTGAATGTCTGTTTATTGCCAAGAACCGACCAAGCTGAATGTCTGTTTATCGCCAAGAACCGACCAAGCTGAATGTCTGTTTATTCCAAAGACCTGACCAAGCTGAATGTCTGTTTATTCCAAAGACCTGACCAAGCTGAATGTCTGTTTATTGCCAAGAACCGACCAAGCTGAATGTCTGTTTATTGCCAAGAACCGACCAAGCTGAATGTCTGTTTATTCCAAAGACCTGACCAAGCTGAATGTCTGTTTATTCCAAAGACCTGACCAAGCTGAATGTCTGTTTATTGCCAAGAACCGACCAAGCTGAATGTCTGTTTATTCCAAAGAACTGACCAAGCTGAATGTCTGTTTATTCCAAAGAACTGACCATTGAACTGTTGTGGCATTATAGCAAAAATGCCAAAGTAGGACAAGGTTTGATCAGTTATCATTATCAGTGGCAGATCAATGGGGGGGGGGGGTCCATTCCAGGGGTTGGAACCCCCCTTTTTTGGGTGATCAATGCTTTTGAATGGGGACATATAGTTAGAACCCCTCCCTTTTAAAAATGGCTGGATCTGCCCCTTGGATCTGCCCCTGAGTATTAATGCAGAAACAAACAATCAAAATTAAACAAGGACCATTAGAATTTCAATAAGCCAGTGTTCAACAAAAAAGAAAGTACATGTTAAGAAGTCTCCAAGAAAACATGTGAATAACTACAAACAGTGACATTTAAATACCAGACAATAACAAATTCTTAGAAGACAAAAGCAATACAGAAGTTTCAAGGCCAGTCTTTTTATTTTAAGTCTCAGATCTCGTTTTACACATGTCAGTCATGTGATAACATCAAAAAGTTAGGCATTTTTGGATCAGCAAATGGAATCAACACTTCAATACATCAACTGCATGAAATATCAACTAATGGAATCAACACTCCATGAAATATCAACTATAGCTAAGTAATGGAATTAACTAATGGAATTAACTAATGGAATTAACTAATGGAATTAACTAATGGAATCAACACTGCATGAAATATCAACTAATGGAATCATCACTTCAATACATCAACTGCATGAAATATCAACTAATGGAATTAACTAATGGAATCAACACTCCATGAAATATCAACTAATAGGTAATGTCTTCTTAGCATCGGTAAAGCATGCTAAGAGAGTAAAAATAGAAAAGTGTGGTTGAGAAAACTGTTAAAATCATGAAATTTCCTTAATTCGTCTATAAGAAAGGTCAGGCAGATGAATTGAAAAATGCCATGTGATGCAAATTTTTTCAACCTCCACATTGAAATGGCCACTATTCTTGAACTCCCTTAAGAGACAGTGACAACCAATGGTGAGATTCGTAAGTTAAGACAGACACATAAAAGTGTGGTGGTGTTGAAACTATTGAATGATTTAATCCTTAAGTTCCATATCATCTCAGTTGATGAACATATTAAAAATTCACAATTAATTCAAACCTGGAAAAGCAATTTTAATAATCAGTTTTATTGGTATTCCAATTACAAAAACACCACTAGATAAAACAATACTTTATAATAAAAATCATTGAATGCTTGCAACTATTGTAAGCCGTTCAATCATTTTGCATCATTTCTTTAGATGCCAATTGGAATGTGTGCATTTATGACTGTGATTGTTCAACAAAGGGACAATGCTACATCAATAAATACCATTTCAAGAATTACTTTATATAACAATAACCCAATCAAATTTTAAATGCAAGTTTAAATGGACTGAATTTAATTTTAACAAATCGCATCAGATTTTGTACCTTATTTAACCATCTAAATACGTCATAAAAATTAACTGTCCTCGACAGGAGGATCATAAAAGAGTTTTATGTAGATTTTTTTTCTAAATTGTATGGGTACTGTTCTATTTAAACATGTAAACTTACTTTAGGAAAAGGTTTTAGCTTTGTTGTCATTTTATAGTGAAAATGACATAGTTCACAAGATCTCTTGTCTGAATTTTTCAACCATTTCTGGAGACAAGCTTGGTGAACAAATTTCATGCTCCCAGCACAAAGGCATGGTGATATCATTGGTGAGGTTATATCATATTCCGACACATCACAATGACAAATTCTACATGTATCTCCTGTTGAGGATGTCATAGATAGTTTAGTATCACATCGTTCTGTAGCTTTTGGAGTTGGTGAATTTACATGATGTGTCTCCTGAAAGAGAAAGATAATGTCAGTTTCAGCTTTGATCAGAGATTGACAAAACAAATATCCTCAAACCACAACTTTCTTACTATTAAAAGTCATTAAAATTGATATACACAAAATAAGAATAATTAAGTTTTACACAGGATAATGTAGTTAAACTAGTAGGTTTTTAGTTTTCTTGTTTTACATTAGTGTGGTTTTGGTGCCTTTTTAAGCTTGCTATGTGGTATGGGTTTTGCTCATTAGTGAAGCCCATATTGTGAGTATAGCTGCTAACGTTTATATCATTAAGTCTCTGGCTGAGAGTTGTCTGATTGGCAATCATACCACATCTTATTTGTATAACAGAAGCATTTAAATTCTTGAAATATAAACATCTAATATAATAAAAACTGGAGTGGATAATGTTAACGGTAAAATCCGTTTCTTTGATAGTTAAAAAAAGTGTATAAAGAAATTAAATAAAGATCACTTTTCTGCTGTAATAAAAATGTCCAATATATAAAAATACAAAATTCAAACAAATGTCTGAACTTTTCTTTACACAAGAGGTTTCAATTAGCCGGAAATGGTCACCTGACATAATCGCCTTAAATTGATACAATAAATATGAATGTAACAAGAGTATCTGGGTTGAATAGATTGTATAGCCCTAAATATTTGTCTTGCTGATCATTTTTGTTGGACATAAAAAAAAAAAAAAAAAAAATTATTTAAAAAATGTGTTTATTTTCATGGATACCTTTTTTGATGTTTGAGAAATAACTATATTTTCCTTGATAATTGATTTAGTGGTTTTAACAAATTCTGCATTCAGGCCTATAGGAAATTTGAACTTCTTTGAACACTTGAATTCATGTTTAAGCCATGTTCACAATTTCCATGAATATTTTCCCCCAAAAAAATAATGAATCTGCAATACTCAGATGGTCTTACTCCTGAACGCTGCACAGAAGCAGCAAACAATAATATAAACAGCATTACATCTGACCAGACCATGAATTAAACCAAATGCTTTCAATTAACTTTCGAGATAACCGAGCCATCTGTACTGCTCATCAGAAAAAAGGAATTTTTGCTTGTAAGCAATAATAACTCAAAATTATTCTAGATAGATATAAGAAGATGTGGTATGAGTGCCAATGAGACAACTCTCCATCCAAGTCAAAATTTATAAAAGTAAACCATTATAGTCAAAGTGTCTTCAACACGGAGCATTGGCTCAGTATAAAAAGGACTGGTATTTAATTTGGGTGAATACTTTTTACCATATTGAGATTCTGGATAGGGTTTACAAAATAGAGAATTTATGGGCAAAAAGTCCAGAAAAAAAGGGAAAAAAAAGAATAGAAAAAATTAGCCCAAAGAAATAAAGAATAGAGAATAATGGGGTTCAAAAATATATAGAATAGAAAATAATGGACACAATAGTAGAGAATAAACTGCTTCGCTAAGCGCAGCTAGATACGCACGCAGAGGTCCAACCCTGAACAGTTGGGGCAAAAATGGACACAATATTCAAGCTTGATTCAGGTCTGAATTTGGATTGTAATTAAATTTTTGACATATTATAGGTTTCTGAATAAATGTAGTCAAAGAATTTGAAATTGGTTATATGAATTGAATTTATATTCAATTAAAGATTTCTTGCTGTTGTGCAATACTTAGTAAATCTGTTGTCAGACTATAAACAAATAAAGTTCAATTAATTCTCAATGTCATATTAGAAATTTATGAAAATAAAAAGGGAGCTTACATCAATAGATATAAACAATTCACCAAAGTTTCATGAGAACTGGTGACAGCATTTTTGAGTTATTGTCCGAAAACTGGAAAATCACCCCTTTTTTTAATGAATAAAACCCCATAACTCAAAAATGTAGGATGTAAAATTTATAAAATTCTAAAGGGAGCTTACATCAATACATACAAACAATTCACCAAAGTTTCATAAGAATTGCTGAAAGCATTTTTGAGTTTTTGTCCGAAAACTGGAAAATCACCCCTTTTTTAATGAATAAAACCCAATAACTCAGAAATGATAAATGAAAAATTTATGAAAATGTAAAGGGAGCTTACATCAATAGATATAAACAATTCACCAAAGTTTTATAAGAACTGCTGAAAGGATTTTTGAGTTATTGTCCGAAAACTGGAAAATCACCCCTTTTTTTAATGAATAAAACCCCATAACTCAAAAATGTAGGACGTAAAATTTATAAAATTCTAAAGGGAGCTTACATCAATACATACAAACAATTCACCAAAGTTTCATAAGAATTGCTGAAAGCATTTTTGAGTTTTTGTCCGAAAACTGGAAAATCCCCCCTTTTTTTATGAATAAAACCCTGTAACTTGGAAACGTAAATTCTAAAATTTATAAAAATCGAAAGGGAGCTCATGTCAATAGATATAAACAATTCACCACAATTTCTTTTAAGTTGGTGAAAGCATTCTTGACTTATTGTCCAAAAACTGGAAAATCCCCCTTTTTTTAATGAATAAAACCCCACAACTCGGAAACGTAAAATCTAAATTTTATAAAAAACGAAAGGGAGCTAACGTCAATAGATATAAACAATTCACCAAAGTTTTATGCAAATTGGTTAAAGCATTTTTGAGTTAATGTCCGACATGTTGACGACAGACAGATGGACCGACAACGGTATACCATAATACGTCCCGTAAACAGGCGTATAAAAATGGACTAAAATATTAAAGAATACAGAAATGAAGAAACCCCCATCCAGACCCTTACAATTTGAAGTATATCCAAATTAATATTTACCACTGTTACAGCGGCTTACCTTTGATTGAAGAATATTATCTGAAGAATCCATAAGTTACTTATAATTCATAAGTCCAAAATTATTATATCACCCCAAAAAAGATCATTATACAAATAAAATCTGTATATTACGACTGTTTATGGATGTTGGGAATTCCTTTTAAAAGCAGACAAAAATGAATATGATTATTGTCATGAAAATAATTTCTGGTATCATATTTCAATACAAATCTCAGTTACATGAGCAAACTCGTTCACAACTTCACACCCACTTATATTAAAATCACAATAAAGCAAACGACCAATACAATTAACACATCTGTTTGTTTATTTCATTCTAACATTTAATTCCATAGAATTTGGAAAAGAATGCACCTTTGTCTACTTTAATAGTACACAAAAAAACAAAGTTAAATGCCAAAAAATACAACTATAAATTATAATTCTATCAGTCTGTTCTTTTATGGAAATATAAAAACGAAGATGTGGTATGATTGCCAATGAGACAACTCTCCACAAGAGACCAAATGAAACAGAAATTAACAAAGTACTTTTTATTAAAGATGTTAAAAAAAAAATGCAAATACATAGATTTATTTATTTTGTAACATTTGAAAAAAAACAACAAATTTATCAATTGTTCCATATTGTAAAACCACTACATAAAAACAAGCTTAACATTTCAAAAGAAAAATTGTTTCATAAAACCTCACTTAATTTTTTTTTTTTAATTTCACTGAAAAACATTTTTATTTACACAATTTTACAAGTGTCCATATTAAAATTTTTTTACATTTGAATTAGGAAATATATAAACCTCAGACAAAATCAACTTGAATTTTCATTAATATAATAAATCAATGCATCTTGTCAAGTGGAATTAGTTAACATGACAGTATATCTGTTTTATATCATTTTGGGAAAAAAAAACTAAAGTTAAAATTGATCATTCAGGTAAAGAATTTTTCAATAAAATTTACACTTTATTTGATTCTGTGGACTTTTGTTTGTTAAATGGCACTTTCAATACCAAGGTATAAGCTTTTCACATCAGACATAGACATGTATATGGAGAAAAACATTGACTTTTAGAAATGCTTTCTGTTATAAAATGTTTACTTCAAGTTTTGTAAGTACATGTTTACCAGTAATCATTATGACTTTGTCCCTTTTCTAAGAGAGAAGTTTGGCAGTTGTAAATTCATAGACAGCAACCCACAAACACAAGTTATAACAAAAACAAAAATTAAGAGATCACAATATGGTCTTCAATGAGAGGTTTGTGACCATATTGTATGTCTTCAAAATTTGTGCTGGTGAACAAAATTGTACTGAAAGGTGTACTTTCATGTTAAAACTTTTTTTTAAAAATAAATAATCATTTTTTGACAAACTAGCACCTTTCCATTTAGCGAAATTGAGATCAACTGCAGGAGCTTATGGATTGTATTACCCATCCCAATTTTTTTTTAATCGAAAAACAGCAGGCTTTTCATAAGATGAACACATAATAAAATGAAAAGGAAAACATTTGGAAAAAATTAAACAAGAGGCTGTCAGATTCACAGCAAACCGGATTTTCTGCATGAAAATGATGTTTGCAATTCTGGACCCCCAAACAGGATCAAGTAAAAAAAATAAATGAACTTTTGTAGGGTTCAGAAATGGAAAGGCTAAAATCAATCTAAGTATCACTTTCTCTACTTAAAGTAGATATAAGAAGATGTTCATACAACTAGAGCCAATGAGACAACTCTCCATCCAAGTCACAATTTGTAAAAGTAAACCATTATAGGTCAAATTACAGCCTTCAACACGGAGCCTTGGCTCACATCAAACAGCAAGCTATAAATGGCCCCAAAAATGACTAGTGTAAAAACATTCAAACAGAAAAACCAACGGCCTAATCTATATAAAAAACGAGAAACGAGAAACACTTATGAACCACATCAACAAACAACAACCACTGAACATCAGGTTCCTGACTTAGGACAGGTGCAAACAAATGCAGCAGGTTTAAACGTTTTAATAGGTGCCAACCTTCACCCTATCTGAAACAATAGTGTAACATCACAACATAGAAAGACACATTATAAAATATCAATTGAAATGGCTGAACTCAATCAAAAAGACATATTAACAAAACAAGTGAACATAAACTGAACGAATAAATTTGATCTATGACACAATGTAAATACAAAATTAATAAGACAAGGGG